GTTGCGAAAACAAGGTCAAACAACTTTTATACAACGAAAGGAGACTGCGACCACACAAAAGGCCACACCAGCTTGGTCTTCATATCTTCGATAAATTTTTAAAGACGTTTTTAACTATCCTTATCCTTATTCCCTTATGCCTTATATGGAATAGGCGTAAAATTATTCATGCGACGGTCATCACTTGTTTCCTTGAGGAACTGTAGCTAGTTATTAACGCTGTGAAAATTCACTGACGATGACAACGAAAAGTCCAAGAAGTTACCAGCAGAGATGCGCTGAAAATAAGCATGATCTACATGGCAAAGGACACTGTTTAGATTAGTTCTTAAAGGGTGCCCTGACGCCAAGTCTAAGATGCGAAAACTAGGTTAGATCATTATATTGAGTCTAGAGTTTGCGATTTTATTGAGAACATTTACAACCGATTCCTGCCAAGCATCAATGGTATGGCTAGTTTTGTTTCCCCAACAAGAACTCAATTATTCCATGTCCATAGTTTGAGAATAAACAGCACAAGCTCGCCGCACTGACCAACTGAAAAAAGATGGCTCTGAAAAGCCGAAAACATCTGGCGCCTTTATATGAATCGCAGAAGTTTAAAGTGTATTCTAGAGTCATTGCTTTTCTCATGTCTGCATAAGATATGAAGTGGTATTAAAATTTTTCGCCGAACATAATTTATTTTGAGAACCATTTTAGGACCATTATTAATTTGACAAATGTGCAAGAACTTCTAATAGAGGAACTTGGCGAACAAAGTTGTTCATATAGGCAAAACTGTGCCTCTATTAATTTAGGAACATCATTTGAATATTGTCAAAATGGAAGGCTCCATTTTTTGCAACTCATCGCTATCTGATCATCATAAATTGTTTTCACTTATCATTATTTCTTTTCACAAAATCAAGTTAACATGATTGTTTATATGATTGGCATAATACTTACAGAAGGGACTAGGTTAATTTTCTTTTAATGTGTGATTCCATCAATAGATTCTCTTGCTGAATACAATTTAAAAAGATATATCCCTTTAATACCCTAAAGAGATTAGATATTCTCAGCCTATCTATCAAATTTTTATCGCATCCGAATAGGTTGATGATTTAAGAGCTGAGAGTGGTTTATAGCATCTAAAAAATGAAGAAAGACTAACACATTCATAAATTAAAATTCTAAAAATCAAGAAAAATATTCCCAAGGAAAAAGTGTTTGAGATGATGAAAGTAAATGCCTCTTGCTAATGAGCCATACGATAGACATGTTCTCATTCATATCCACTTACCAAGTTACACGTGAAGAATATTTTACTTGTATCTTTGCCGAGTTGTAGTGTGGTGCTAAGAATGTCAGTGCTCACTGACGATGTCGGCGAAATGTACGACATCCACGGTCCGACTCTGGAAATAATCATGCATTCTATGGAGGGACTAGATGCGTTCCTGTATGTCTTCCTGCTAATATGACCAAGTTGCGAAAACAAGGTCAAACAACTTCAATATTTGATAATGCCCATAAATGTATAATGGTGCCAAACTGTTGGGAGCCTTTCAGGAAACTAACTCTTGACAAGCTAGATACTATCAATGTCCAACGATACTAATGAGCTAGCCTGGGGCTTTTCCAATTCTTCGTTCATACTTAAATGAGAGGATATTTGGATTTATAAAAATACATAGGCAATGCAATCTAGGAAGATTACAGCAAAGCTTTTCCATCGAATATTAAAATTTACCTCTGCGTGAGAACGGAGAATGATCATCATCAATAATGCCAGTAACTCTGTCACGGAAGTAGGGCTGATGAGCATAGCGTCCAAGAAGAAGGCTGCGTTGAAAAAGGCGCTTTTCTAAGGCAGTTAAAATAAAGTAAAAAAGGAAAGCTTGGTGTTCAATAGTGAAATAGACGGAAGCGAAATAATATCAACATTGAAATAATATAGGAAACCCAAAAGCTAAAAATTATGCAATACTATTTAAAACACTGATGGATAAAAAGGTAGAAATTAGAATATTGTTGCATCAAATAGGAATGACAATTGAAACGAAGCTATCAAATAGTTTGACCTCGTTTTTGCAACTTAATCCTATTGTCAGAAGGGCCTAGATTAAGTCCTTAAAAGCCTTGATTCTCTGGCTGGATAGAGATAACTTAACGCCCTAGATTCCCTTATCACCACTGGCATGTGAGCCAGGTAAATCTCGTAGTTAAGCCTTTGCTTCAAGGAATATGTCTCTAAACCGATTGACAAATTTAATGACAATAACTCCTTATTTTACGTTCAACGACCGCATCTATGAGCAAATACTTAGTCTGCCTATTGTCTCACCATTCTCATCTATGTTGGCTGTGTACATAAAGAAATAAAAAATTTCAGAACTTAACCTCCGTAGCCAACAGTAATTATGCGATATTCGGATAAATATTTTCCATTCTGGTCACATGAAGAAGGACGATCTGAGGATTTCATGATCTTAAAGTATATTCAACAAAAAGTCAAATTTACAATGGATGTGGAGAAAAACGAACGCTTAGCTTTTTTGGATATGGATGCCATTCACTCCGAGTATAGTCTTAAGAAGAGGTTGTTCTAAAAGAACACATGCAGGAATAATCTTTAGCTTCCGTTAATGAGTAGGCTTTCAAGACTACCAGTAGATCATATATATGATATATATTCATCATGTTTCGTTAAAACGAAGGACC